CATTGTAAAACTTCAGAAGGATTGGTAATTTCTTATTTTGGAAAATGATGATGTCACATGAAAACTGGTAATACTTAGTGTATTTGAACTATAAATGGCGGCCACGTCCCCATACTTTTTAAGATATTATGCCTGAAAAAGTATTACAGGAACTTCTAATCAATGAATAAGATATTTAAAACTATTGTCTTTATTGATATTAGACAAAAGCATTAGTCACTGCTATTTCAATAACACCCACTTCTTCCTGGGGTTGAACCCTATGCACTGCCCAGAAAATTATACAGGGGAATTGCATAGGATAAGGGAAAATTCAAGGAATAGTCAAAAATTCATAGGAATAGCAAAAGGGGATTTTGTAAAGCCATAGCTGGGAATTAAGGGGGAAATATCTGCCAAGGAACTGGTAGCTAGGGGGACTTTCCCTTGTACAATTTATCCCTACCCCCAGGAAAAGTCATTAAGAAATAATAATGGCTTCAACCTCTAATATCAGGGGGAAGGCAAAAGCCATTGAAATTTTAATTATGTTTGAGAAATGATGCCACTAGGGGGCTAGAAATAAATTTGAGGGAAACATACGAAACCCTTTCAGAAACCCCCGAGGGAGATCCCCTCCCCTAGCTAGGGGGTGCAAACACTTTGTCAAATTGTAAATATATCCCCCTAAAATTCGATTTCTATTGAAAAGTTCACTATCGATACCTTCTCCAATCCACTAGTTTTTAAACTATGTATCTGTCTTAATTATTGTACCTTTGCCATGTTCCACACGTGTATGACCGGCTTATTCAACTGTGATGCCAGGACGTAATCATTTCCAAGCAAGCAAACACATCGACACGGACAGCCACCTCCTTTGTAAGCTTTCAGTTGCATACCTGAGTTTATATCCCACAAAGATACGCAGAAATTATCGCCACTAGCTTCCGTGGACAACGCGACTTCGAAGTTCGCCATTTTGGTTTTATTCTCTTCGAGCCGGCAGTCATTTTAATCTGATCAGCGGTAATTTTACTCGGTCCAACGCAGAAAACCTGGTGACGAGTGAGGTCAGTGGGGAAACAAGAAGCTCGAAAATGGCCTCCGTCGAGCTCTCGCAGGTGTACGTGCCTGTAGCGAACTACTGTGTACAGATGATGAATGCCCTTAACGAGTTCCGGAAACACAACATATTGTGCGAAGTAGTGATTGTGGTCAATGGCAAACAGTTCTACGCCCATCGTAACATATTGGCGGCGAGCAGTCCGTATTTCCGGGCAATGTTCTCGAGTAATATGCGAGAACAGTTGGAAAACAAACCCGTGATCCTTGAAAACATCACAGCGGAAATCATGGAAGAGTTGTTAAACTTTATGTACACCGGAAGCATCAAGATCACTCCTTTCAATGTCAAGGATTTTGTTTCCGCTTCGAATTATCTGTTGATGACCAGTTTGAAGGAAACTTGCGTTTCCTTTATGAAGGCCATGTTGAACCCTTCCAATTGCTTGGGGATCGAAGCGGCGGCGTTTAAATTCGACTGCTCTGCGCTGAGAGGTACGGCAAATGAATACATCTACGATAATTTTGTAGCTGTTTCACAAACGGATGAGTTTAAATCACTGTCGGCTGAACGGCTGGCCGAGTATCTTAGCAGTGATGACATACGTGTCGAGAGAGAGGAACAGGTGTTTGAATGTTTAATGCATTGGATCAATCACGATGCGGACGCTAGGAGAGGTTATTTTAAACAGCTGTCACAACACGTCCGTTTCCCTCTCATGTCACCGTATTATCTTGCGGATCACGTCGAAACTGAAGAGATCGTCCTTTCATCTCCCGAATGCACAGCTCTGTTGCTAGAGGCCAAGAACTACCACATGCTTCCTGATCGAAGACACTTGATCAAAGGTTCTAGAACCAAGCCTAGACGGTCGATGGGTGTTATTTCAGTCATATTTGCCGCTGGCGGAATTCAGGGGTCTACAGTGATGAGAGACACTTATGGGTATTTTCCATCAGTAAACAGGTGGAGTCCATTGGCACACATGCTCACGGCACGGTGTCGGCATGGACTGGCTGTCACTGGAGACATGGTGTATGCAGTGGGTGGACAGTCACGTGAAGGTAATTGCAAATTATTCTCCTCTTTCCAACTAAGGCAGTGTTTATGGAAGTGTCCAACTTAGACAGTGTTTATTCTAAACACATTGGAGTCACTGCCATGAGGTTGGTATTGGGGAAATATTGGTCGAGTGTTTTTGTTTTGGCAACTTTCTGGACCTTGCCTGTGGCTCGCTCCATAAACTTGCAAGGAAAAGAACAAGAGCAATATTTCCCCAATACAGACCAATTAAGTTAGTTGAATAAAGTATTTATATCATAATGGTTCTTTTAAAATTCTGCTGATAAATTAATGAATCAACTCTAAGCATGTGCACCAAAGTGAAGCACATATTTACATTTATCAGGCACATTCGTGAAAGTTTAACTACAAAATGCAGACTGCTCAGGGATCTGATCAGAATTCTTCTTTTCATCCTGGACCAATGTACCATATAATAATAACAACTGCTGTTAATTATTTTGAATTCTCTTTTCCTCAGGTGCTGCACAGAGCTCTCTGAACTCTGTAGAGAGATATGATCCAAGAACTAACACATGGACAATGGTTGCACCCATGAATATGAGACGAAGCTTGCTTAATGTTGCAGTGCTTGATGGTGAGAATTATTTTCCTTAATCATCTTTCTTCTGCAGTTTGATTACTGTTAACAACAACACAGGGGCCAATCTAGGGGGAGGGTGCAGGGTGTGCAACCTCCCCACCCCCTGAGATGAAGCCTTCTTCTTTCTATTTGCTTTTAAAATTTGTCTACCTCACCAGTCAGTTATGCCATTCCTTAGTAGTGCACCCCCCTCTCCAAGAATAATCCTGGATCTGCCTCTGAAACAACTTTATCAATGTGTCTTGGTAAAATAGCAGAAGGTGAAGCCCTCTGCTAACTGGAGGCACCTAAACGTTAAGACTAATAATTGATTTTAAATGCGGGTTAATCCCCCCGAGAGGCTAATACTCTTATGATTGTATCTAGGTGTTGAAGATGGAGGAAAAGGTTTTTAATCAGTTAAATAATAATATAAAGATGCACTAACATGAGAAGAGTATTTGAGCAAGCCAGTGACGAGGGATGTTTGTTTGTTCATCAGGCTAGCATGCTGTAGAAAGCATAACTAAATGTAACCATACTTGGCCTGTCAATGATTCTATTAAGAATTTGAAAAGCAACCTCGCAGTGATTGTTCTTGGGCAAGACACTTTACTCACAAGTGAGATAATTTGTAGTATCTCTGTCCACCCATGTGTTTAAGGGTACTGACAAATTTAATGCTGAGAAGTAACCTGGCAATGGACTGGCATCCCACCCAGGGTGAAGTAGAAAGATTCTTAAAGCAAAGTTGTGTTCAACTGAATCCAGAGATAAGTTGCAGACCAGACTGGCCCATCACTCAAATACAAACTTGATCTTTTTACCCCTGAGCCTTGATCAATATTAAACATTTGTTCTTTATAGGAAATATGTATGCAGTTGGAGGGTGCGATGAAAGCAACTTCCGGCTAAACAGTGTGGAACGTTACAACCCCTCTACAAACACATGGACATTCACAGCACCCATGACAACTTGCCGTAGCAGCCCATGTGTGTTGACATGCCGTGCACTTTACGTGATTGGTGGAGTGAGTTATGTTGGGATGTCCCTCAACACTGGGGAGTATCTTGACCCTGTGACGAACACATGGCGGCCTATTGCACCAATGCATGACAAACGTGCAAGTGCATCTGGGGCAGCTACAAATGGAAAAATCTATGTCATTGGTGAGTCAGAAGATGTATTCTACAGTTTCTTCATCAGGCTGATAGTGAAATATGATTTCTTTAGCATAAAATGGCTTGCAGTATTCCTTCTCCCTACTTGGATTAAGGATACTCATTGGTTGGAGGTTATATTCTCAAGCATATTGAAGGCCTTAGGGTGTTTGACAATCTGTGGCTGACTTCTGGGTCATGTTTTGTTTGTTTGTTTGTTTGTTTGTTTGTATGTATGTTTGTTTTCCTTGTTTTCTTCCTAGGTCAAAACCAGGAAAAATTGTGGTCCATAATTGGTCTATGATTTTCAAGTGAATTGCAAGTACAAAAACAAAAACAGGCAAATTGGGGAAGATGAAAGAAAATGTTTAATCATCAACATTGGTTGGTTATGCCTACAGCCCTTCATTTGGCACATGCCAGTTCTCAAATCCTCAGAGTCAAGTTTTCTCCTCAATATTTTTTGTATCACAAAAATTTAGGTGCTATAGGGAGGATTCTTACATTTCTAACTTCTGAAATACATGACATCATGCTCGCTTAACAGATAATAAGTTTGTAAAAACTCTAGTAAATTACTCCTTAGGTGGCTGGGATGGCTCATTCCACCTGAACAGCGGTGAAGTTTATGAGCCTGACATTGACCAATGGTCCATGATTGTACCCGCCAGCACTGCCAGATGGGATGCAGGGATAGCTGTGGAGAGTGACAAAATCTACATTGTGGGGGGATGTGACAGGAATGCCCTTTGTACCTTAGAAACTGAGTGTTATGATCCTGAAAAAAACAAGTGGAGTAAAGTTGCATCATTACCAGTAGCAACACATGGCCTGAAGTGTTGTACCATTCAGCTGCCACATAAGTTTGCTTAGCTATTTCAGCATGTGCATTCCTTTTATTATGAGGGTTGCACATGCATATCTATGTTTTTGCAGTATGAGGTCTAGGGGAGACTCTTACAAAAGGGACGGGGATGCTTGTGGGAAATTTTGAAAAGAACCCCCAAGTGAGGTACCAAGATCCTGCTTTGTGGGTGTGGCTTGAAATATTTTCACCCCAAAGAACTATCAATTCTAGAACAACACACTATATCCAGTCAAATTCTTATTCCTCGGCTGAATACCCTAAAAGGTACTTTAAAAGCCCCTGTTGTGGACCTTTTGAGGGTAAACACCCTAAGAGATAGCAAAACCGCTTTTTTTAACCCCTAAAAGATACAACAAGCACCCCTTTCCTTTTTATATTGAATCCCCCCCCCCCCCCTCCTCCAGGTATGAGGTACCACAGAATCTGTTTCAATGGATCTGTTTCAATGGATCTGTTGCAATGGATCTATTGCAAGCTCTTTGCAGTAAACATCAATAGACTCAGCTATTCTATAAAGTTTATCATGCTCTTTTGATTTCTGGCATGAATTCTGTTCCACAACCATATTATATGATTAATTTCTGAAGGTCACATGACAGGGCTATGTGAAAAGGCCTATAAAAACACAAAGCATTTCTTATAATTAGTAATTAATAATAATTGGACGTCATTTGTATAACTAGTATAGTTGTTATGCTAGTTATGCAAATGTCGCCCAAGGAGGTAGAATAGAACATAAGAAAGTATTTTATATACCTGTAAGATATGACAACACAGAGAGTGGAATGAAATGTGTATAAGTTTTTCCTGCAAAGCTGTTCGATAATACATTCCAGACAACTTTCTGTAAATTTTCATATTGATGCAGGACTCCATTCTTTTTGTTAATAATTAAGATATTTTAGAACTTTTATCAAATTTTTAACACCCCAAATCAGCATAATTATCAAATGCCACGAGAACATTTTCATTTAATTATTAGTTCTCCCACATGATTGACAATTTTACTGAAAGCAATTATATCATTATTATATATCTAAAGTTGAACTTCATAATTTGTGCAGATCCAGAAAATATCCATACTCCCCCACAGAAGGGATGGAATTTCCTGAGGGGTAGGGGGTTCTCTAAGACCAAAACAAATGTATTAAGCTTAATTGGAATTTCCAGGGGGGCGAGGGGTCTTGGATAAAATCCCTTCCATGGGGGAGGTATGGATATTTTCTGGAACCACATTTGTAACTTGTTTTTACCTTAGGGCAAAAACACTGTAATAATATATAGACTAAAAAGAAGCAATTATGGTTTAGACAGGAGAATCTTTAGATGAACGACAACCGCCCCATTCGTTACGAAGCGTTTTCAAGAGATATGTATATAATTTCAAAGAGAAACGGCTTATTAGACAATATGAAGAGAGAATGAAGGGTAAGAGAGTTTAATACTCATATAGACCTTATCGTGTTTGCAAGGATATTTTTAGAAATATTTGCACATTTTGCTCATGTGGACAGCTGGAGCAGCTCTACATACGATTTCATCCCCCACGAAAACATCCACGCAATGCTCATGGTAAGATAATCAGTGGGAGAACCAGGTACCATGTCTTAACATAATGGGAGAGTCGTTACCTATCTGGGGGATTAACTCTCACTCTTCATCGTCTCTTCGCAGTACTTAGTGAAAATGATAGAAACGAACCTTCCGGAGTGCTCCTTGTGTGCGAATTTCGCTTAGGTTTAATTTTGCTTCTTGGACAAAATGTACCAAAAACTCGACGAAAGGGGGTAAATGCCCCCCTGACTGTCCCATGAGGTACCATTTGGGCTCTTTAATTTATTGCGGTAGTGAACCTTGTCCCCAGCGTCTTGAGCTCGACGATTGGGATCGGGAAAAGAAAAGTAGAGAAGATCCCGGGGACGAGGTTCAATTGTTCCTTTTCAAACAGGGAGAGGAATGCTTGACGATACCAAAGAGTAGATGTAATCAGAAGAAAGTCGTCGACCTATTTTATGCAAACGACCACACACTAAGGTGTCAACGTTGTAAATTTCAAAAGCACTTTTTTCCTTAAAAAGAGAAAGACATTAAAGTATGACGTTTCTGAAGAAGACTACTTGGGTCTACTTGTCTGGCCCATTGTATGGCGATTTGGCAATGATGCAAAATCCTTAGAGTTGATTCCAGGAGTCTCTCCTGCCCCTCTCCTTTGTCAGATTTGAAGCAATAATAAGCTACCTGAGAAGCCACGAACAGCATGATTAGCACGGGTGTCCCAGCAGCGAACGAACGGAACGCATTTACAGCACCGATTGCGTCAATAAAAAAACCCGCACAGACCAGTTCCTATTCCACATCCCACTCCAAGAAACAAGCTGTTTACGCCTCCTGCAAACACGAAAAATGTCGTAGGGTTATCTAAATTAGGTACATGTAAAGGAATTCCCAAATAGTACAAGCACCTACCCCGCGACTTACGGAGGACGAGCTCACTTTCTTGCGCCGCACGCCTCTTCTACTTACAAGCCAAAAGAACACTCGATGTGCATGTTTGAAGAGTACCGGTAATGGCTTCAGGCTGGAATCCTAAT